CCCCAAAACCCCAAAACCCCAAAACCCCAAAACCCCAAAACCCCTCATGTTAGAGATAATATTGATGAAATTAATGAGATTTAGTCAATTTTTAGCTTGAAATTGAAGTCTGTACCAAGAGCAAACCCTATTCCTTCTTTGTTCAACCATTCTTCTGGTACTGAATAGTCAAAGTGAGGGATGAAGAATGCTGCCAGAACTTTGAGCTCTAGATTCGCAAAGGCTTGGCCTGGACATCCTCTTAATCCATGGCCGAAAGCTCTCTTAGAATAAACATTGGGAACAATACCTAAATCTTTAGACTTCTTTGCAAAATCAGAATTAGGGTCGTGTCTGTCTGGCTCAAACACATAAGGATCAAGCCATTGACTTTCATCATAATGAGTGCCAATTACATCAATAAGCATCAATGTGCCTTTAGGGATAGGAACATCACATATCTCAACATCTTTAAACGCATAGTAATTCATCGTAGTCCAAATCGGAGCATCAATTCTCAAAACTTCTTTGATGACATATGAAAGATATTCTAACTTCTGGATATTTTCCATAGTGAACATCTGGTCAAGATCTCATCCCTTGACGAACCCGTGCTGGGCAAGCTCATGTTTCAGCTTAGAGAGGGTGGAAGGATACTTCTTCAGGAAGTACAGCATTGATACAAAGCTACGAGAGATTGTGTCTCCTCCGCCCATAATAATCAGCAACAAGTCATTAAAAATGTCATCTTTGCTAAACTTCTCCAGCTGGGATATCTGGTGCCAAACTGAGTTCTTGTCTTTGGAACGATGAAGCATCTCTTTCATTATGCTTCTGAACCGGCTTAAATTTTTGAAGTTCCTCTTCCAAGGATTGACCACATTCAGTTTGTTAAGAATTGGAAAGAACATTGTCATTGGATGAGCTCCTTCTACATGATAAGCAGTCAGCAAGTGTCCGAAAAAATTAATCAGGTTGTATTTTGCAGTAGTTCCATCAGAAGTTTCGTAGTCATGCTTTTCTACTAAGAAGTCCTCTAAATCCGCACCGAAAAGGATCGTCATGAATATCTTATTTGTCATGTAGCTAATTTTCTCAGTGATCAAGACCTCCTCCTCTTGTTTCATCTTCTCTAAATTTTGCACTGCATTCTTTAGAATAACTGGGATATGTTGGGAGGAAGTATTGACACCTAGCAGTTTGAAGTAGCTCTTTCTTCTTTCTGCGATACCTTTAGAGGATGCATAATTGTTGAAAGATCCACTAGAGAACTTCAGTCCTCCTATCATCAATCTATAATTATCCTGGATATCTGCTCTATCAATCTTGGAAGGGATCAAAGCAGCTGCTTCCTTGACTGCTTTATTAGAAGCAATGATAATTCTTGGTTCAAATCCTTGGACATAAACCTTGATATCTTTACCACCCATTTTGGCTTGTTGCTTCTTTAAATGATCATAAAAAGCTCTGCCATTGTTAATGTCATCAAGGCATGGCTTTAGTTCTCCTAAAACTGGGATAAATTTTGGCTTCACATAAACATTTTTATACTGAGAGTATTTCCTTCTGAACGCTAAAGGGACATAGAAGAGTTTGTATGTAAAGTATACTGCAGTGGCGACTAAAGCAAGAGCAGAGTATTTAAGAAGAGCCCAACTGAGCCAAATTATACTTTCTCACACCATTTTTAGATTTGGATAATTTCAAATCTTTTACAAGGATTTGGGGTTTTGGGGTTTTGGGGTTTTGGGG